GGGTAAGTGCAAATGGGGAATGCAATTGCAGAGATCTCCCTGAGATAGCATTTTTCTAGCTGGTTCAGATATGCAGGGCAGCTGAGAAACAGTAGTGCAAGGTGTACCATAGGCTATCTGCCTACTACAGGTTATAGCTCAGAAGAAATTTGCCCCAAGTATGGCATTGTTGCAGCTGCACAACTTCTACTTAGCAAACAGTGAATGTTAGCAGACATGCACAAGCATTCAGTATTCAGCATTGATTTACTCCTGCTTCTAATATCTTGAAACTGTGTTATACAGGACAGTGAAAATAAGCCATTATATGTTAAGCTAAAACTGTGTGTATAAGCAATTGCAAATCAGACTCTTTGAGTTGTGCATAGTATTAAAGACTTAAACTCCCTTACTTTTTTAGGGAAGAAATGATGGAGTGGCTTTACCCTATGTGGGTATTGGTAGGTCAGAGATCACATAAAAAAGTAAGTTGGGTGAGACCTCTGGAGGCCACCTTTTCCAACCCCTAATCTATGCAGAGCCAGCTTAAATCAGATTGCGTAGGCCTTTGTCCAGTCAAGTTCAGAATATCTCCAAGCACTAAGACATCACAGCTTCTCCAGGCCCATGTCAGACTCTCTTCATGATGAAAACATTTTTTTCCTATTCTGTAATCAGAATTTTCTTTGCTGCAACTTGTAGCCATCCACTCTGCACCTTCAAGACGAATCTCTGTTTCTACAAAGTTCAAATGTCCCAACTTGCTCCAAGTCTGACCTAGTAAGAAAGCAGATCTGCAGAGGACAAATGAGGCTGCTACTGAATTTAAAGGAGCTATACTGCTTTATCAGCTTGGAGAATCTGGCCCTTCCAATGTCAACAGCAAGGCAATGTATAGACAGCTGTATCTCTAAGCATCTGAAAAGGCTGACATATTTAGCTGCCTGGTATTTTCAAGCTTGGTTTCAGCAGTCAGCTAACCTGCAAATGACTTTCACAGAGCATAAAAGCACACTTGAATATCCCCAGCTTTTACATAAAAAAATAGCTCAGGAAACTCAGACAGAGTCTTATTTCCCCAGAGACTCTATAGCCACATTTGAAAAGCCAGTGTTACACTTCCAACACTTTCTAGTCTTATATCTTCCACCCACATTCTTTATTAGACTGTAATTCTGAATGCTGTTGTTTGCTATGGGATCTCTAAGCTAAGGTCCCAAGGCAAAGGGAAGTATCACAGCTACAGTCAGAGAAAGTTTCATCTTGCAAGAGCAGATGTTAACACAGAGTCTCAGATTTTTTTTTATTTCTTAATAGTTTAAAAAAATAAAAATAGAATGACTGATTACTAATAGAAAAAATACACTTTTCTAGATCTCCTACTGGCAAAAGCTTTTTTTTCTATTTTCTATTTTGTTATCAATTTAATTCCATTTCTAGTTGAAATCAAAGTTTGTCCTTCAGTCTCTACTGGACCATAACTGACCTCATGTTACTGTATTTCGTTCAATCTGATGAATTTTGGCTTTGAAAAGTCTGGTTTCAGTAGGATTGACACTTCTGAGCACTGTGTAGACCCTTCCCTTATGTAAGAGTTTTGTTTGTAAAACAGTTCACCTTTCAAGAAGGAAAAATGTGAAAGATATCAGAGTGAACTGACAGGGAGTTTCTTTTGCCCATCACCAAGTTATCCAGGTCATTTTCACACCAAAGAAACTGATCTGAGACACAAGAAACTCATGAGCCAGTTCTCTCTCAAGCCATGCTCTCTAGTCCTGGATGCTCCTTAGGTGGTAGTGGCACAGAATATAGTAAGCCATTATCTGACAGACACCTTGCCCATCCCATTTCCAGCAGCTTAAAATACTGTGTGGTTCAAGGCAGTGGATCTGTCTCTCAAGTACCATAAGGTGTCCCAGCTCAGCTAAAAGTTGCTTCCCAAATTTACACCAGCTGTGCACAGCCTTTGCCTTCTCATTCTCTTGTACTCTTTGCAGCAAAGATTTTGCAGCTCCTTCTAAACTCGTGATCTTCACTACTGAGTTTATTCCACACCTGAGCCCTGCAGATGTGGTATAGCATTGTTTGTGACAACTGATTTCTTGAATTTGTCTAGGTTGATTAATCCAATAAACTGTGTACCAAGTATCCTGCCTAAGACAAGAACTAATGGTTGCTGTTTGCATGGTGCCTGTCACAACGAGGTCTGATCCAGCTAGTCTTTGGCATTTACTTCAATCCCATCATGGTTCAGTTCAGTCACCCCAATTCTTTTAACCAAGTCTGGTTAATGTATGAGGCAGAAGGGACTAAATCATTGTTTTTTGTATTCTGATAGAATACTAAATTACACCTTTTTATTATTATTTGATGTGACATCTTATGGTTTAAAATGTAGACATGTATTGTCTAAATGAATTTAGACATTTCTAAAATGTAGAAATGTAGTTTCTTTCTTGCTTTGCAGAGTCATGAAATTATAATCCAGTTCATTAATCTAGTAGTGGGGGTAATTTTTTTCTAATTCAGAAACTTCCAGGATGTAGGCAGGTTTGTTCTCTTTCTTCCAAAGCCTTTCTGGTTGCTAGAAGGTACACAGGCTGCCTGGGCATACAAAACGTGGCAGGACAAGAACCCTGCCAGCATCCCAGACATTTTTGTATGCTTGGGACCACAGGGACAAGGCGCTTGGTCACAGTTTTGAGCTTGGATTTCTTGCTTCATTCTGGAAATGCCAGAGATAGACTGCAGCTTCTCCCAGGTTTGTAGAGCCAGTCTTCTGCCCTGGATAGAGGCAGGAACTCAGCTCAGTGTTCAGAGAGACATACAGGATATCTCAGGGAGGCATCAAATTTCTGAGACTGTGACAAGGTCAGGGTAAACTTCACTTGTTGTGAGGATCTACTACATGAATTGCCCTGTAGTAGAGCAGTGTAGATACCATAAATAGTATTGATACAAATACAGCAGAGAGATTCACTACTGTATGATAGAACATAATATGCTTGACAAAATACCATCTTGGTACTCAATCTTACCTCTCTGGAGTATCTCCCTGGAGGATATGGAAGCCAGTCCCCACATAGTTGTGTGAGGTGAAAATCTTCCAGACAAGAAACACTATTATGAGCCATGAACCCTATCATATCTACAGGGGATGTAGTGTCCTGAGATTCATACTATCAGCACTGATATTTCCCTTTACTAGATGCAGCAATAAACCCCCTTACGGACATCTTTTGGAAAGGTTGAAGTAGATGTAATCAGGGCTTCTTAGGAGACAGTGCCCATTCATACCTTCAGTATAAACACACAAAAATATTTCTCATTTCAAATCTCTGCTCCAATAGTGCCAGCAAGATTCAATGTAAATAACATTTTTCTCTGGGGGCTGAAGCAAGTGCTGCAGTTTAATGAGTAGACTTTGATAGTCTGGTGGAAAGCCTAATGACATGGATTTAACTGTGTTGGACATCAGCTTTATTAGGCTGTTTCTGAGACAAGGTAGTATTGACAGTGTTTATGATAAATGACACTCCTCAGTTATTCTTGCATGACTGGTTTCCTTTCAAAGTACCCAAAAGGTTTAGAAATTATGAAATATTCGTAGTGGTATCGTGTCCCAGACTCTTTCCCACCAAGTCAATGGACAGAATTTTTATTCCTTATTTTCTGTGTTAACAGAGTCACGATGAGGTTTTGATTAGAGATGAAAAATGCCATTTTCTGGTTGGCACAGAGCCCAATTTATATTGGCCAAGACATTTAGTTACCTTTTCACAGTTTTAGCCCTCAAAAGGAAAAGCATATGCTAATAAATGAACAAAAAGGGAGGAAAAAAAAGCACAAAGTTTCTTTGAGGGACTGCTGTTTAACTGTTCCCATTAGGAAGGGTATGCATCTAGTTACATAGTATGAATTGGTAGTTGTCATCAGACCATGGAAGACCAAAAGCAGTTATTCAAAGCAGTTATTTTTTTGAGCAACAAGGTTTCATTGACAATTGCTTCAGGTCACTGAATAGCAAACTCATCATAGCCACTGATGATATCGGAATTTTTATGCCCCTACCAGGCTGCAGTTTTCCAAGCTCAGTGGAAGAAACCCTGTGACTCACTGCACTTGGGGCATGGCTTTTTGTGCTGGTCATTCAATGTCAGTTGGAAGATATTCCACTTGTGCATCAGAGAGGATTCCAGCCTTGGGACAAGACTGCACTCCACATTCCGCAGATGAGCTGCCTTAGAGCTCACTTCTGCTGCTCTTTTCCCCTCCTCCTTGAAAGACATCAGCCCTTCAGCATCATTTCAGAGCAACCTAGACCTTATTTTAACTTACACCAAGTGTCACACAGAGCTCATGATCTAAATAAAACACCTGGTGTAGGAGGGCATTTTCAAAACAGTATAGGAGTGCTGAGGGATGTCTTTAGCATGGTCATACCACAGCAGGTGAAGGAATGGAGCAGTCTACGAGTCCCCTGAGGAATTCACAACACCCAAACTTCCCCATGGGTTTTAAGGCCTTGTTTTAAGGTTAAGTTATGAAGGTTAAGCTTGTTTAGAAAGTCCACACACCACAATGGTATAGTCAGAAAAATACCTTTTCTTTATAACTGCAAAGTTAAACTGCTGGCTATCCCTACTGCTGAAGGAATGGTATGGGAAGAGAACAGTGGTGAGTCAGTCTGTAATGGTTGACTTCCCTCCTCAACATTCACACATTTTGGAAACTCTTTGATCTTGTTGGGAGGAGAAAATTCATCCAAATCTGTAGAGTGACAATGCAATAAAATAATACATCAGAGCTGGAGGAAAGCTTGGTAAGATCAGTATGACAGGAAAAGATAGGGATCGGTAATTGAGCACTGCAATCAGTTGCCCAGAGAGGCTGTGGAATCTCCCTCACAGGAGATATTCAAGAACCATCAATGTAATCCTGTGCAATGTGCTCTTTGAATCTTCTTGTAGTCCTGTAGGTTGTTCCTGTAAAAAGCAATACACCTTTCTTTGTTTTCACAGTTGAGAGGAAAGGGAAACGGAGAATCCGGACAACGTTCACAGCTGAGCAGCTCCAGGAACTGGAGAGGATTTTCCAAGTGACTCACTACCCAGATGTCCATATTCGCAATCAACTGGCAGCAAAGATAAACCTCCCAGAAGCCAGAGTTCAGGTATATTGTGTCTCCTAAAGGCTATGTTCACTGCAGCAATTCATTATTCAGAGTACATTCTTAATAGCTTATGCCTGGGTGACAATGCTAATGAATTACGTGACCTCTCTCTTACCTTACAGACAAGGCCAGTATCACTGTTCTCCTTTTACAAATAGGGAAGAAGTATTTGTCACCCAACTGTGACTAACCAAATGGGATTAATCAAAGGGTTAGCAGGAGCTCTAAACATACTAAATGCATAGCAAATAGGAGTTGCCGATGGTTATGAGCAACCTGTCAGACTCTGTAGCGACAGAGTGGCCATTTATGAAAATATTTATTAGTAATTTATCAACTGTGTACGGGCTAATAATCATCCAGTACAAACTCTCATCCATATCCATCTTCCACAGAGTCTCAAAAAATGTGGAAATAGCTGCCCAAATGAAAATGCTTTCTTTAGTGTTCTGTATTTTGGTATCACAGGATATAAATATCCCGGTTGTAATTTCAGTGCACAGAAAGTAATCCAGTTTCCCTCAGTTGTAATATAATCTTGCTGACTGAGCTAAAAATTGACCCCAGATGTTTACTGCATATGAGATCTGCTACATTAAAATGTACATACCCCTGAGTATTGACATTTGGTGTTCTTTATCAGTCACTGTTGAGATGATTTTTTCACAAGGCAGTTTCTTGCCATAATTGTAGAATCATTGATGCACTTCTATGCATATATCCCACTCTAACAATCAAAATTCAACATGAAGCAGTTTATTGAGTATGACATGCCTGAGGCTGTAGACTAACCATGATGATATTGCTTCATAGTTAGGTGACAGGGAGAATTGGAACTGCATAGCCACAATATGCCTACTAGAGATATCAGTGCACCAACAATGCATTTCCGATGGCATAAGGCACGAGCCGGGCTACCAGCCACTGTTCCCAACAGAACAACGAATCACAGGAAAGAACAGGGCACTTTTCTGTTTTTAAAAGGAGTTATTATGGGAGACATCAACCTGAAATGTAAATGAAGGAAGTAAAAAGTCCCCGACGTATGAATTGCAGATGGCAAACAACCAATTCAGATAGGGTTACACACGGCACAGGAAATTCTGTGTTTAACTTCATCTTAGCTGCTAAAGGGAAATCAGCCACAGAACCGAAAATTAGCAGTAACTTAGGTGCAAGTTACAAGTTGTTATAATTTTGATTGATTGTATTTATCACATATAAACCAAATAGCATGCTGAGAATTCACATGTGCTCTTGGTATTTGGAAATAATAGTTCTCACAAAGGTAAAACAATATGACTCAAATCACCTCAGAAAGATAATTTAACTGGGGAAAAAATGCGAACAACAATCAGATAACCAAATAAAACATTTTATAACTGTGAAAAAGCTTGTGTCCTCCAACCAATAAAAAAGATATGACTGCTGTGAAACAGCTTAAGTGAATAGATGAAATTACATCACTGCATGTGTACATGCCTACATACAAGAGAAAATGAAGAATGCTGGATGAGTAAACATTAGAAACAAGAAATTTAAAAAAATGAATAAGCAAAGCAGGAGGATACAGGCCAAAGTTTTGGTCAGAAAAACTCTAGATCAAAAACTCAATAAAACTTGATTAAGAACAAAAAAACAAACCCAAAAGTAATCAATTATATTGATCTGTTATTTTACCGAAAAAGTAGGACTGTCAAGGATATGGCATAAATAGGAAAGATGTTCAGTTATAATTTCTGCTCTATCTTTGGACATATGTCAGGTAAGGTGGTAACACTTTCTGTAAGGACGACGTTGAACAGCAGCTGCTACAGTTGTAAGTATAGACATCTAAGTGACTTATCTCCAGTAGTTCTTAAGAAGCTACTTGAGAAGCACTTTGGATCATCAGTGTTAACATTAAATCAGTCCGGGAGCACAAGGACGTTCCAAGGGCCTTGAAGACATGTAATGTTGTTTCAGTACTTAAAGGGTAAACAGGACAACCTGTCAGCCAAACACTGATTTTTTGCAAAACTGTGAAAAAGATGATATGAGTCTCTGTTAATGAAGAGTACACTGGCTTATGGAAAAAAAGATGCTGCCAAAGTCATCTTTTTATGATGAGATTATTAGTGACAATTTTAAACTGAAAGAAGGTTGATTTAGGAAGATAAGGAAGACATTCTTTATGGTGAGATTGGCAAGACACTGGAATAGGTTGCCCAGAGAAGTTGTGGGTGTCCCATCACTGGAAGTGTTCAAAGTCAGGTTGGATAGGGCTTTGAGCAAACTGATCTAGTGAAAGATGTCCCTGCCCACAGCAGAGGGGTTGGAACTAGATCATTTTTCGAAGGTCCCTTCCAATTCAAATCAGTCTACTGTTCTATGATTCTGTGTATTTGGTTTATTAAGGTAATTGATATCATTGATGACATGGCACTGTGAAGATCTTGCCTTGGTCCTACAACCTGCTTGGATTAAGAAAACAGAGCAGATCAAATGGCATGTGCTAGTAGACAAAAAGCTAGGTCTGCAACAGGTGTCCCATGGCAACATTTCAAAGGTGGTATGTCATAGGAACCATTTACTGACACAAAGATGAATTTGAACTACATAATTAGTAAAACAAATGGAAGCCATTCCTACAACATGGGGCATGCCACCTTCCCTCTGCACTCTATTTTAGTTCTTGTAAATGAGTCTTGTGAAATCTCTGTCATTTGCCCCTGGTGTGACTTTTGTGAACACACATGGGAATATTGTGCTCTGTCTCAGTGCCATAGCTCAGGAACACTGGAAAAGTGGGCATTGAGAAACCATGTTAGGGGTAAGCGTGTTGCAGAGTTGGTTGGGCAGAAAAGAACAGTTTGGTCTGAGAATGACTGAAAGCTTTGCCTTCATTAAAAAAATGTAAGCGAGAACTTTATCCTGTGTGCAGACTTTAGAAGGAGCACTTCAGAGGCTGAATGTTGTCTTCATCTCTCCATTTCCCTCAATCACTTTGTCAGTGTTAAGTGGTGCTATTCCACCACATAACTCCTGCATGGTAGAAAGGGAATGGAGCAGTACATACAGATTAAGCAGTTCTCAAACACATGCAAACCCGGATAAATAAAACTGTCATTTCAATGACCTCAGGTATTGCTAACTATCAGTAACACAGCAGAGGGCTCCTGACATTCCCATTACTTCCTGGGCAAGAGATGCAGAAATAATTGAGCTGCTCATTATTTGGTTTAAAATACATACATATTTATATCCAGTTGCATCTGATTTTGGTCACTAACACTTTGTGTTCATGTGAACCAATTGCTTACATTGAAACAGCCAGTCCCTTGGCCAGATAGAAACTACAGTGGAAGTGGAATTCAACTTTTCACAACAATACAGCAAGGTGCATTACTGCTGGTTCAAAACAAATACTTGCATGTCTCTTCCAGAAGTCAGACTGGTCAAACCAGCTAACGGATGAAAGAAACTCCCCTGAGAAAATTGTCTGTTTTTCAGGCAAAAGAGATGGCAGACAACATAGATTGCTGAGTGATCCCCTTGGGTCTTTTGCTTAGTTCCCTTATGTGAATTTCAAAATGCTACCAGTTAAATATAGGAAGAACCCTGTTACTGCATCTCCACTGGTGGCACATTTTTATTGCAGCCCAGCAAAGCATCTAGGTAGATCTTTTCTCAGTCTATTCATGTGGAAACAGCACAAAATAGCCCTGTCATGCAACATATCACACCTCCTGTGGAAAACAGGGAAAACAGAATGTCATGGGCCTTGACTACTGCACAGCTTTGACCACAGAAGGATCTGCTTTCCCAGGAGAGGCCTGTAAGAGCTGCAACAGTCTCTTTCCTTGATTAGGGTGATTCTAGATCTTCTGTGAGCTGTGGTAGAAAAGAGTCTGTCATGATAGTCCAGAGATCCCATGTGCTATGAAGAGTGTGAAAGGTGCTGCATCAAACCCACTATATTCCATTAGATTCAACCCCTGGTTCTGCTGACCTGTATGTCAATGTTTTATGACGATCATTTAGAGAGTAGGGAAAGTAGCTGACTGTGAGCAGTTTCTCCTTCATATTCTGTTAATTTCTGTTAATTTTCTTTCTTACCTCTATCCAGATCTGGTTCCAGAATCAGCGAGCAAAGTGGAGGAAACATGAAAAATTCAGCAACTTTGGTGGCCTTCAGCATCTTACAGAAGTTGATTTCATTCCTGCCCCCAAGTCAGATTTTACAGTAAGTACTGAACATTATGTATAAAGCCACTGAGGGAGGGAGAGCTATCCTTCATCAGGTAATCACTTCACATGGGACTATCCCAGAGAAGGAGGACTAGAAAAAACAAAAATGGCAATATGATGACAAGAAATCCCAGCAAATCTGGTCAAATAACACATTTCTTCATAATATTAAACCCGTTTTGTAAATATGCTATGAGGTGTCTTGCAGGGTAGTCCTTCCCCATTTTGCTTGTAAATCACTTCTCCATAAATCATACTTTAATTCAAACTGTCTTTATCATCAGAAATTTTTTGAAGAGGAGAAAATAAGACATTTGCAGCCACAAAGCCATGTTTCTTAACAGACAGTATCTCTTTAAAACATCCAGCCTTTTAAGGCTGACCACCACTTTTTGCCCTTGACCCTTGCCATGTCCAGGACTATTAATATTATGTGGCTGGCACACAGGCTCTTTTCCTGACAGGAGCTTTTTCATGGCTAGAAAAAAGGGTATTTTGCCTTGCTCCCTGGGTGACACACACAACCAGGTTTTAGGAAGTCTATTCTTCTAAACTTTTCTTCTTAATTACTGAGCACCAGGGAAACAAATAAGGTTGACTGTAAATTGTATCTAAATAAAAGTCCATATTGATTCACCTGAAACTACGTTTTTATTCTGGAAAGGCTCCAAGCTTGATGCCAAGAAAGCTCTCTGCTTCCTTTCCTGCTATGGGATACTACTCACCGCTGCAAGGACAGCTGACAACTGCCTGGCTGCCCAGCACGTTCTCCTTCTCTCCCCACCACATGGAGCTGCTGCCCTTCCCAAAACCGTACTTGGTCTTCAATGTCCTTCCCCCTTACGGCTCGTCACTACCCCACAAGTTGGAAAGGAGCAGGATCTGCGCCAGCTCCACATAGAGGAGGATGTGGGGGAGTGGGGGACTTTGGGGGCGTGCCTTCCTCCCCCACACCCATTTTGGAGGTGTGCAATTCCTCTCCCCGAACAAACCTGCTGGGATGATGGGTGGCTGTGGTGCAAGGTCAGCATGCTGCAAGACTGCTACCAAAAGTTGCTGCGACCTAGAGAATGTGGGCAAGAGCCACCAAAGACCAGGAAGGAGCTCCTCATCTGCCTGAGGAGCAGCACGCTCCCTAGAAACCCAACCATTCAACTGAGGGCCTCTCCCCAGGGCGGACAGTGCACCAAGCAGCCCTGCAAAAGGACTCAGCCATGAGACAACGTTGGACCTATCGCACTGATGATGGCTTGGGGAAGGACAGATGCCTGTGATAAAGTGTACACAGCCCCAAGGTCCAGCCAAAAGGCTTTACTCTGCAGATTTGGGTCGCTTTCCTCATACATTCTGGTCCTCATGGACTGGAGGTTGCAAAGAACATGTTTAGGTCAAAAATCAAACTTTCAAGATACTTTTTTTTTTCCAAGTAGTCAATGAGGGAGGAGGGTGGGTTTGATCTGCTGTCTGTGTTTTTGACTTGAATAAAAGGGCACAAGCACAATTTGAGCTGAAATATGACAGTCTGAGCTCTGGATTTGGTACTGTGAGTCTCTGGGGGCAAGAGAATTCTTCAGCTGGTTAATTAAAATGCTTATGAAGAAGCTTCTCATTTTTTGACCTGAATTAAGAAAGCTCCAAAACCCCATCAGAAACAATAACAAAAAGAGACAGCCTGAGTTTAATCTGCTAGCTGTAATAGGATGATATGACCCCACAGTTTAGTTTAATTGTAGATAAATAATGAGATTGGCCTGCCCACTTACAAAATGTCTCTGTGCCTTATTATTTACATAATACTCATCTCCTTCTAGCATATGGTGCTTTTTTCTCCCCTGCTTATTCAGGGTCCAATCCTGCTTCCGCTAATACCTCCACTGACTTTCACAGGAGGCACTGTTGGAAAGTACTGGTTACACCATCTTCTGTCTTGTGTCCACAGCACAAACTGCACGCTGACAGGGGAAGCTACTGAACAAAGCCATTAAAATGTGGTCTTCTTCCCAGAAATATCACTTGTAAGGGTGGCCATTCATGACAGGTCCAAGAGAAAAGAAAATTGTGACCCAGTGGTCTGCTGGGCAGGCTGTCCTGTGCACATGGGAGTGCAGATGGGTTAATGCCTCTGAATAGATTGCTTACTTTAGAAATCCCTCCAGCCAGACTGCAGCTGTCAGGTCTAATGCCTTCCTATAGCCACTAATTGTTAGTTACATAGTGGGTCACAGCTTTCTTCTCATCTGGATGGTACCAGCCTTCCAAGCACTTTAGGTTTGGAAGACCCGTAAGCTAGGAAGTAGCTGATCATTGCAGGGGAAAAGGTAATTTCTATCCTCTATGAGTTTCACTTCTTCAGGCCACAACTGCTCAGCAGAACTTAGATATATTGTGTCCTTCCTTTTATAGGTCTTACGCAAGACCTTTTTCCCATACCTGCTTAGATCTGGACTATGTATCATCTTCATCCCTGTCATTTTATCTGTCATCTGAAGGACAGTCAAGTCAGATACAGGGCTAAACTTCAGCTCCAACAAAGAGCTTAAGCATCTAACTGATTAAAATCAACACAAATCAGTTGTAGTGTTCACCTTATGCAACTTTAGATGACTGCATTGTAGCTACTCACATCCAAGTCAAGGTGGGCTCACTTTTAAGAAGAAAAAGTGATCATACTAAGGTTTCTAAGTTAGGTGCAATTCACACATTAGTGCAGTATCTGGGATGTGAAAAGGCCCTATGCAGTGATTATCTGGAAACAGACATGGGCATGGTAATCATCTAAAGCTAACAGGCATGACTCTTTGCACAACAGACCAGGGATGCAAGCCAGCACCTGCATTGTGACAGCCTGGAGGAGGATTCTGAGATCATCACCTGAACATTTTCCTTGGTCAGGATATGGAGCGTTTTAATTCCATCAGACTTTTAATAGAAACCAAGCAGCTTTCCAGAGTTATTGCCTACTTTCTGTCCACTCCCATGTCTGTCTGACAATGCCACAGCCAGGGTTCCTACATATCATGACACCTGCCCAGAATATGACACTTCATGCTTCCAAAGTCCTCTAGAATCCCTGTTTTGGATGAGAGAGGTGAGAAGTAGAGCTTAAGTAACTTCATATTGAAAACTCAAAGTCTTAAAATTCCTTTTTTGCTAGCAGATTCAATATTTGGATGGTTTGTTTTGATGCAGAACAAATTTTGCTTGGGCTTTCTTGTTTGTTTATGAAATTTCAAAATTTCCCACTGGAAAGCAAATCTAGGTTTCAGGATATGTGTAGCACTTTCTTCCACATGCAGCTGGTCAAATCCTAGAGAAACTTAGTACTATTGCCATGTTTTTCACCAATTTCATGCTTTTATTCTGAGGTGCAGCCAGAACAAATTAACATGAAGTGAGGCAGTTTCTGGCATTGGCACCCTTTTATACCCCAGCATCTCCTAGTCTTTAGACTTTCATCATATCTCATTCTAATAGTGGCATCTTTCCCTTACTCTGCATCCCCTACTTATCTTCCAAGAAAGAAGTAAGGAAGTTCCACTTCTTTCATGGCTGTGTTGGTCGTTAGGATGTTACTTTCATATTATTTTATCCTCTGATGTTTCCAGAAAATGTCAGGTTGGGCACACCAGTCTTTGGGACATCCTAAACTCCACAGCCCTTCAGATATATATGATTGTTTTGAGAAAATGTATCTTAAACCTGACAAAGGGTTGCTTGAGGGGCAGGTCATCTAAGGAAGCTGACTACACACTAGCAAGACTTGAGTATAGAAACGTAGTCATAGTTTCATCCGAACTTCAGAGTAATAGTCTGTGTTTTCCCTGAGCAAGTGGCCGGAAAAAAAAGATATCAGATTTCTCACTGCTGGCATATGACTCCAGTTGTACTGCCTTGGAGTGAACTGGTCCATGTGACCTCCCACCATGTGCTACACTTGTCCCAGCCAGAAACACCCTGACCACCTCTTAGCTGACTCATCCTACATCTGAAACCAAAACATGGGGTTATCATCTCTATCCAAAGGGCTTGGCAGAGAATTCAGTTCAGGCTCAAATCCAGTCATGGTAACGCTTTGTTCCCTTGGCGTATCCGAATCACTTCGGAAGTGGCAATGAGAGGTTACAGTGTGGAGCTACGTGGTCCCCGTCAATGGACATCCTGGAAGGCTGTTGCCACAATCTGCTGGACCAGGTCATATTAGCTTAAGAGCTTCTTGGAAAAGAGTGACAGGAGAGCCCCGTCTTGTCCCAATACCTGACAAAAATGAGAGGCCATTATTTGTGGTAGATGCTCAGAGGTTTTTCCTCATCTGATTTCAAATGACAGGATTTACAGCCCCCTTGGGGGAGACCCCTCTGCAGTCTCACAGCTTCCCATGATATTCCACTTACATTTTCCATATGACAGTTTCAACTTTTAATCTTCCCTAAAACCCCTTGTGACCTGAACAATTTCTCCCCCTAGCTTACAGTCCTGATTTCCATTTTCACACTGACTTTTCACTAAAAGACAGTTAGAGAGCCCAGGGGCATCTAGAAATCTTTTCTGTTATGGTTGCTGCTGTTGTTCTGTTGGGGATGGCTAGAAAAAACAGTGGGAGTTGGGAGGGGGTTGTTTACTTTTAGAGGTTTCTTTTTTTTTCTTCTTTTTTTTAACCCCTGTGATTGCCACGTGTTCTGATCACAGTCAGAAAGAGAGCGTGCAGAGAGGGTGCTGCCTGCTCTGCAATTCCAAACAGGTATACACTAGACCTTGGGTCAAAAAAGCTCTGATTTAAAGCAGCCAAACATCTGGTTCTTCATGCTTTTCGACTAAGCTCTCAGTGCTCTTCCCACTCTGTGCCCTGACCTGACTCTACTAGGTGACTGCAAAATGTCCTTCCTCTGTTACCTCACATCGCCCCTTAGGCTGGATTATAGGTCTCACCTAAGGGTCTACTTCTATTTTCTTCTGCTCCTTTTTTGCCCCTGGATAGTTTGGTTTATTTTTGTTATGAGAAAATGCTATCAATTCTAGCTCAGGGACCAAATGAGCCCATGTCTGTGCATCTCAGGGAGATCAAAGCAAAACACTGGGTGTAAATAAGAGTTTAATTCAAAATATAATTGTACGTGAATTAATTCAGGTGGGCTTTTATCCAACCAGGATAGTTTGGCTCTCCCAAGAAGGGCTCTTGTGACACTTCCTCCCTTCTTGTGCCCTCATGCAAACCTGTTCTGTTCCTGGGACAACTTTACCTCTCTTCCAGGACATGTTCTTGCTTTTGCTGAAATCCATTATTTACAGTGTCTATCCAAAGATACTTGCATATAACAATTTTTTTTCAAGTGGCTAACAATAAAAACTCACCCCCTGATCTCCTGAAGCTCAGCAGAATGGAGAGGGTGGGAAGGGAAAATGCCTTTAATTTCAGTTCTTCAGAGCTGGAGATTCTGAAAGGACTTCAGTTTGATCAAAAATGAACTTGGTGTCATAGTCACAAGGTGGGTTTAGATTAAATGCTTCAAAAGGAAACTCAAACAGATTTTCCTTTTAATCAGCTGCAGAAAAAAAAATCTGTCTCAAAGCAGTAGATAATTCACTACTCCAATAGCCATTATATATATATATATATAATAATGTCATGGGCATTTCAAGGAGAGAATGTCCCCTCATGGGGTAGCTTGCATTAGCACTGCAATCCTTTCTGGAACCAGCATATCAAGCAGTACATGTCAGCCACCTGAACAATCTGCAGCTTGTTTAAGAATTAAAAAGTATGAGCCAGCAACCACGTGCCAAGAATTTGTAGTAGTTACCCCTTTTTTCTGCATTTTGAAACTCTCGTAGTCATGTTCTTTGCCATTGCATTCTTTGTCTTTGTCACACAGCTGAAGCTGAGCTTATAGGACAAAAATTCACTGAAGCCTTCATCATCTTTGATTAAATATAGATGCTGCTATTTACAGCCTTACAGACCCCAGGCCTTGTCAGCTTTTAATGGTTTTGAATGCTTCCATAGCAGAAAAGAACCATTTTGTCTGTTCTCAACAATAGGAAAAGCCAATTTAACACTTTTTCTGCTTCTCTGCAGGAAGCACAGTCCTGACTCTAGGATGGTAGCCTTTACTTTGTTTGTGACTACTGGGGCTAGGAAAACTTTTAGGACTCTCAGCAATATCAACCTTGTCTGTCACTAATTTTCCACTCTCTGAAGCCTTGCTATTCCCTACCTCTTTTCTTTTGTCTCCCCCATGCATTAACAGGACTAATGCCACCGCTACTTTTGCTTTATTCCCTCGCCTAATTTCTTTTTACTGCTCTGAACTTACGGCTGTCCCATACAATGCCGTCAGGATTTCCCAAGCAGGAATAGGTGCACCCTCTTTCTAGGGGCACCTGGCAGGGCAAAAACACCTCCTCACTGCCATGAAATGCTTGCTGATGTAGAGACCTACCCAGGAGGAGTTTTCTCCTTCATTTGCCTGCAGCAGAAGCAGATAAGTGTCTGATGTTCAGAGTCTATCATATGACAAGATTATTTTTCTTATAGTTAAGGAAAAGCAGGTCCCCACCAAGGGGTCTTAAATTTGAGCCTGCATTGCCAGTGTTTGAAAAATCTTTTATTGATGGCATTTTACAGCACTCCACAGTGTAATCCCCCTGCTCTCAGACATTTTGAATTTTAAAAAATTTTAACTTTCAAAATTTGACATTTCTCTGTGTTATCTGTCTGCCTTAGGCCAATGCCTTAAATCTAAGCAATTCAGTCCCTGAGGCTGGCGAAATGGAACCTTTTATTCACAGTGACAAAATTTCGGTACCCTTTTGAGAACAGCACTTGGAGCAGGAGCTTGAAATCTAGTAGAGAGGTGGCCTTTCCTGTTTATGTTGCTCTTTTCCATAATTGTCACCAACTACTGTCATCTGGCCAAAGTATAAGTCTTTGAAAACTGTTGGTTTGCACAGGTTTATTCTGTGTCCTTCAGATTATAGCAATTACATTTCTTGTGGAGTCGATGCTCCCTAGGGGTGCTTATTCTGATGGTTCAGCATGAATTCCTCCCACAAGTTCAGTTCTTGTTTTGCTGTGAACAACATGTGGCCCATACTCTCATGAAAGCCACCAAGGCCCTTTTTCCCTGATTTTTGAGTGCCCCACCACCTCAAACACAGGATCAGGTCAGTGGAGCAAGCCTAGTACTGGAGGAACATTCCATAGGGAAGGTGGGATGGCAGGGAAGGGTTGTGGCTGGAGCAGGAAATAGGACAAAGACTGGCACAGGCCAGAGAGGCTGGCTGGGTGACGAGACTCAGCTGGGGAGCCAGAGAGGTGTGACTGGAGTAGATGCTGGTGGGTTCATGGAGCTGGAATTGCACAGGAACAAAGAGCTGATCTGAGGCAAGGTGAGGGGCAGATTTGGCTCTACCTATTCCTATGGGAAGCTCAGCTAGTGGCTTAAACTGCAGATTTCACTTATGCAAGGTGCCTTTTCCACGTCTGC